GTTTAGGACTTGTTTAGGGCTGGTTTGGGTGGTTTAAGACTGGTTTAGGGCAGATTTGGGTGGTTTATGACTGGTTTAGGGCTGGTTTGAGTGGTTTATGACTGGTTTGGGTGATTTATGACTGGTTTAGGGCTGGTTTGGGACTCGTTTAGGGCTGGTTTGGGTGGGTTCAGCCACAGCCCACCCCTGTCTCCACAGCGCGTGCACTTCGTATCGGACCCCTGCACCTTGGAGGTGAATGGCATCGTGCTGGGCCTCACCTCCACCGACCTTCTCTTCCATATGGGAGCCGAGGAGATCAGCAGGTGGGTACTGGCCCAAAGCCAGGATTCAGGAATCTCCTGCTGGTGGTGAATGGATCCAGCCCCAGATCCACAGGATCCAGGGGTGTTCCCACCCAGCACAGCAGCTCCTGGTTGTAAATGGCCTCGTGTCTCGTTACTCACAGTCTGATCTTTGGCCTTTCCCATTCTTTCCTGAATGGTTTTACAGCTCCTCCGGGATCTCGGACCGGTTCACGCGGATCCTGAAGCACATCCTGACACAGAGGAGGTGAGGCCTTGCTCCAACCACTCAGACCCCTAAAAGGGCTTTTTTGGGGGCCAAACAAGGGGTTTTCTATGTCATTCCCTCCATCTTCCCTTTGGAAGTCTCTTCCTGACCCTAAAGCATTGCTTTTTTGGGGTTTGTTCCCCATTAACAACCAGATTCCAAAGGTTTTACCCTAAATCCTTCAGCATGGTGTATGTCAGCCAGCCCAAGGTTGCTTCAGGGATGGCGAAAACACCCACAAACAACACTTCCACCCCATTGGTGTGTCCTAGGCCTGTTCCTACAGGCGGACGCGGTTGTTCCTGACGGTGGTAACCTCTTCCCCCCCCCTTCCATTGGTAGTTACTACCCATTGTACCCCCCCTCGGAGGAGCTGAACATTGACTACGAGAGTTTCTACAGCTACGCATCATTACCGGTCACCCCGGATGTCCTCGTCACCCCCTCGGAGCTGCGGTACTTTGTCAAGGTCAGGCGGAGCACAAACACCCGCTCAAGTACCCCCAAACCCATCAGGCATGGGCAAACCCCAGGTTACAGCCGGAACACAGCGCTGACTGTAGCTGATGGATGACAGTTCTTAGCTGTACCTGGTGGCTGTTGCATCCAGATCGGCTGTAACCAATAGGTCACAGCCCTCAGCATCTGGATGGGCTGTAGCTGGGGGGTCCTGGCTGTCAGCACCCAATCAGCTGTAACTGGGTTGCTGTTGGATGGGCTGTAGCTGGTAAGTCACAGCCCTTGGCATCCAGGTCGACTGTAGTCAGTGGATTGTGGCCATAGGCACCCAGTCAGCTGTAACCAGGGGGCTGTTGGCATCCGGTTGGGCTGTAGCTGGGTGGCTGTCAGCATCCAGCTTGACCGCAGCCAATGGGTTGTGGCCATCAGCACCCGGATTGGCTGTAGCCGGATGGGTGTTGGCATTGGATCAGCTGTAGTCAACAGCCCTCAGCACCCAGCTTTGGTATCCCCACAGGAAGTGCTGGGCTGTGTCTGCATCAACCCCGGGCGGCTGACGAAGGGGACGGTCGGGGGTACCTATGGCCGCCTGTACCTACAGCGGGACAACACAGGGGGTGAGCGCAGGAGCCCCTGTGTCACCGCTCAGGTTGTGAAGATCTAAGTGACCAGGATGGAATTCCTCAATCCAACCACCTACAACCCAACTGCTACACCAGGACTGGTCAAACCCACCTGGAACTGTGCTCAACAACACCCCAACCACTCCCATTGTGAGGAGCCCACCCTCCTCCTGCAACACCCGGACACAGCTGGGGCTCTGCTCCGCCTGTTCATCACTGAGGGGTTGATGAACCCTCAGCACAGCGGCTGTTGGCTTGTGGGGTTGTTCATGGGCTGGTTACGTTGTCCCACTCCTTATGCTGACAAAGGGATGCTCCAGCTGGTGTTCCCTATGGAAAAGGGGAATCCTGGCATGGAAAAGAGGCTGGAATCTTCGGCTGTCCTGGATTCACCCCCTGGGTGATGTTTGTGTCCGAGCTTCCTCATTATGGGATATGGAGTTTAATCACTTGGAAAACAATCCACCAGCACCAGGGAATGACACTGGGAATATCCCAGCACAGGGTTGGGCTTGAAGCAGTTTTCCTTCCTTTTCCCCTCCAATTCCTGATGGGGAAGCTGAAAGTGAATTCAGATCTGAGTGTTCTCCCGACATTCCTTAAGCTCCAATCCCAGGGTGGGAAAAGGCTTTTTTGGGCTGGAATAAAGCTAAATCCAATGGGATGAAAGAGGATGTTTCATAACTGTCTCCGCCGTGGGGTGGAAAACAGCCTCATCAGGTGGCTCCATTATCCACATGATCACCCTCATTCCAGGCCTCATTCCAGGCTCCCTCTGGAAGCCCCATCCAATCCCATAAGGGAGGGGAAATGGGATCCGGGGAGGGGGATTCCCATACGGTTTCACTGCAGAACTCTGGGATGGGCCAGAAAATCCCTGTTTTCTCCCCACATCCCAGGGCGGTGCCAATGGGATCATTTCCATTCCTTCAATGCTCACAATTCCAAGTTTTTTCCCATTTTGGTGCTTTTCACCCCAAAATCCACGCTGATTTTTCCTAACGTGGCTAAAAAGCTGCTTTATTCCCATGTTTTAGCTTATTTTCCAGCTTCCCCCCCCAATTCCTATCCCTGCCTCAGTTTCCCCCATAAACCCACCGGATTTGCTTCCAACAGGAGCAGCATCGGGGGGAATCCCAATCCAAACCCATCGGGAGCAACGCGCTGGAATCTTGTTTCCCTCTTCATTAAATGATCCTTGAGGACGAGGCTCATTTGGGATTTAAATGAGCGTCAGCTCCAGCATTCCCAGTTGGCCACTGGGGAGGTGTTGTGGAGGAGGGGGGGGGTGGAAAGCTGCTCTGCTCCATAGGGAATCCCCCTTTGGAGCCAGCAGGGATTTTCCCACCTTTCTCTCTCTTTCCCTAGGGATTTTGCCTGTATCCAAGCGCTTCATCGCCGGAGCTGGGGAACGGGAGGATAACAGGGAAAACCCCAACCCGCGCCCTTCATCCCGGTGAGAATCCAACGGTGGCAAATTCCATGCTTTTTGGGGAAGGAGAAGGGAGCAGGAAGGAAAAGCGGAGGCCCCGGGGTGGGGCGTTGGGGCTGCGCCGGCGCTGGGAGCATCGGATCGGAACGGATCGGAACGGATCGGAACGGATCGGAACGGATCGGAACGGATCGGAACGGCCGCGCTCCTCGGCTCCGGCTCCGCAGGAAGACGCCGGGAGGCTCCGGGGGTGTTTTTCCGGTGAGATCCCAAGCACCATTCCCTATGGAATGTGGGGATGGGGATGGAGACAGCAGAACAATGGTGGGGGGGGGGGTGTCGGGTGTCTCTTCCCATCTTCCGAATCCGGGCCCTGCGTTGGGATGCTGAGGATGGAGGGGTTGCATCCATGATTTGGGATGGTTTCCTGTCCCTATCGCATCCCAGAGCCCTCAGTTCAGGGAGGGAGGGAGGGGGGGAATCCCTCCTTTTCCCAAGGGAACAACCCCGGATCCCCCCCTCCCTGCCGCCACCAGCTGCTCCCGGATCAGATTAGCCGATGGATCCCCAAAATAGGATCTCCAAAATAGGATCCCCAAAATAGGATCCCCAGAATAGGATCCCCAAAATAGGATCCCCAAAATAGGATCCCCAGAATAGCCAAGGCCGGATCCAGCTCCGGGCTTTATCCAGGGAGGCTTTTCCCTGGATCCATGGATGACGATCATTTAAACCCAGGGCTCATCGCTGCTGGGGCAGCCGGAGCGGGCTCCCACCCTATTCCAAGGGAAGGGAAGCGACCTGTGCCCTCATCCCACCCGAATTCCGGCACCGCCCTCCCTGCCCGGGAATTCCCGGCGCTCCCCCTGGCATCGGGTGGGGCTTGGAGCTGTTTTCCCCGGATTTAAGTTGTTTTCCATGGATTTAAGTTGTTTTCCATGGATTTAAGTTGCGTTTGGATTCATTTCCCCCCCCTTCCGTTGGTCATCGCAGGGGGGAAACTGAGGCATGGGAAGGGGTCAGCCGCGTTTTCCAGCCGTGATTTAAGTCGTTTTCCCTGGATTTAAGTGGTTTTCCCTGGATTTAAGTCGTTTTCCCTGGATTTAAGTCGTTTTCCCTGGATTTAAGTTATTTTCCCTGGATTTAAGTTGTTTTCCCTGGATTTAAGTTCTTTTCCCTGGATTTAAGTTGTTTTCCCTGGATTTAAGTTGTTTTCCCTGGATTTAAGTTGTTTTCCCTGGATTTAAGTTGTTTTCCCTGGATTTAAGTTATTTTCCCTGGATTTAAGTGGTTTTCCCTGGATTTAAGTGGTTTTCCCTGGATTTAAGCTGTTTTCCATGGATTTAAGTTGTTTTCCCCGGGGTCAGCCGCGTTTTCCAGCCGTGATTTAAGTCGTTTTCCATGGATTTAAGTTGTTTTCCCTGGATTTAAGTCGTTTTCCCTGGATTTAAGTTGTTTTCCGTGGATTTAAGTTGTTTTCCCTGGATTTAAGTTCTTTTCCCTGGATTTAAGTTGTTTTCCCTGGATTTAAGTTGTTTTCCGTGGATTTAAGTCGTTTTCCCTGGATTTAAGTCGTTTTCCCTGGATTTAAGTCATTTTCCCTGGATTTAAGTGGTTTTCCCTGGATTTAAGCTGTTTTCCATGGATTTAAGTTGTTTTCCCTGGATTTAAGTTGTTTTCCCTGGATTTAAGTCGTTTTCCCTGGATTTAAGCGGTTTTCCCTGGATTTAAGCTGTTTTCCCTGGATTTAAGTTGCGTTCGGGTGCATTCCCCCCCCCTTCCATTGGTCATCGCAGGGGGGAAACTGAGGCACGGGACGGGGTCAGCCGCGTTTTCCACCCGTGTCCCAGCATTTCCTCATCCCAGGCTTTTCCTTATTGGCAAAGATCCCGGATCTCGGTGTTCCCCTCATCCTGGAGGACCCAATCCCGTGTCCACACCGGCTCGTCCCTCATCCCAATCCGGTGCCGGCTGCTCCAGGTAGGACAGGGACAGCCCCAGGATCCCACTGGGATTCCCTGGGATTGAAGCTGATTCCATCCCTTCTGTTAACTGGGATGATGCTGGATCAGTCCCTCCACACCTGTATCCACAAAAGGCTTTTCCCAGTGCTCCAGAATATCCATCATCCACATCCCAAAAGGGCCCTTTTCCATACCCCACCTCGCTGAGCCCATGGAAAAGGGGGGGTGTTTTCACTTCCCATGGGAATATCCCTTTTTCCAGGGGGATGCAAGAGCAAAACCTCTTCCCAGGGGCAAATTTTCCTCAAGAAGGCCCAAAAAGCAGGAAAAATGGAAGGAATTGGGTTTGTTTCCCACTTGGCTTTCCCTGAGTGAGGCAGAAATGGCTGGAATGGAGTGGGAAGGAAATAAACTTCCATGTTCTAGAGGTGAAATAATTGGAATTGGGTGAAAAAAAACCCTGGATTTTCCCATAGTGAAGCCCAAATACTTGGAAATGGGGGGAAAACCTGGAATTTGGTTGGAAAGCAGAGTTTAAAAGGCCAAAAATTGCTGGAAAAGCACTCAAACGGCACCTGCTGATGCTGGAAATGATGGAAATGGGTGGAAAAGGATGGGATTTTATTCCATAAGGAAGGAAAAAAGGCAAATGGGAGCGGTGGGGGGGGGGGTATCCCAGTGGAGCGTTGTGGGATCAGGCACTTTGAGCCCATTTCTTCCTGTGGGGAAGCCAAATGTGGGGCATGGATGGAGTTGGAGTCCTTGGATCAGTGGGATAAAGCCTGAAATCCCTGGGGATGCATCCAGTGGGGCAGGAGGCAGCCGGAAGCACCCATCCATGAGTTCTCCAGGGGTGTCTTGGAGCTTTGTTTCTTTTCCATCCCCTTTTCCTCCCATGTTCCCAATGGATCTGCTTGGTTGTCAGCACTGGGAAATGCTGGGGAAAAGGGTCCAAACTGGGCTATTCCCAGTGTCTTTGGGGCCTACTGGAGGCAAATGGCCTTTTCCAAGGTGTTTTTTTGTGGGATGAGGGACACTTCCCACATTCCCTGATGTTCCCAGCACCCTCCCAGCCCCAGTGGGGCTCTGGTTGATCCGCTGGAGCCCAGACTGGGAAGAGGAGGAAGAAACTGGGATGAGGGAGAGCGATTCCAGGTCAGTGCCCAGGGGAATCTCACTTCCTAATCCCCATCCCCATCAGCATCATCCCAAATCCTGGAAACTTAAACCACTTCCAGGCGACTAAAGGGGATTCTTCCTACAAATCCACTTGTTTTGGGGGGGTTTTAAGGGATTTGATGCTTTCCCCCAGCTTCCCATGCAAGGGACGCACTCGTAGCCCCGCACCCAGCAGCATTCCCAATCCACATTCCCAATATCATCTTCCCACCCGGTGTCTTCCCGGCGCCTGGATTTCACGCCAGCAGCATCACTGCATTAATCCATCCGGGATTAACACCACTGGATCCTGCAGTGTCAGCACTCCATTCCCAACTGGAGCCACTGGGAACGGGCTCCCGGTGCTGTTGTTCCTCCCTGGAGCCGCATTCCCGATGCTGGTGCTTCCTTTGGAGCTCAATGGGGGGTTTCCCACCTCTCCATCTCCATCCCCTCAACCCTGCTGGCATCCCATTGGGAACGGCTCCGGCTCTAGCGTAGGTCTCTGCTTGTGATGGGAATGGTTTCCTCAGCACCCAGAGGGAATTGGGGGGGGCAAAGAGGGAATGAATGGAGCAACACAACCAGGACGATCCCATTTCCAGGTGGTGGAAGGGGAATGTGGGGTTTTCCATCTCTTTGGGGCCAGTTGGAAGGATGGATTGCAGGGTGGAGGCTTGGGATGAGCTGGCAGCGCTTCCAGCAGCATTCCAAACAGCTTCCCCTTTACTGCTGCTTCCCAAGCATCCCAAACCTGTTTCCATCCCTTTCCCTGTCCCACTGGCACGGCTCTGAGTCGGATGCATCGTTGTTATCCCCTAAAAAACCCCTTTTTTCCCCTCATTTTCCCCCCCACAGCTGAAGAATGAGCCTGGAACTGAGGTGGGAATTGCCAAGAATTGAGGGAATAGGACTAAAACCAGGGAAAAACTCCAACTTCCTTCCCCCTCCCACCTCCATCCCGATGGATTTGTGGGGTTGGATGTGGCCAAGAGGAGAAGGAATCCAAGCGTCCAAACCTCCTCCAAGCTGAGGCTTGGAATTCCGCTTCCCACAACCTCCCCCCCACAGCCCCAACGGTTCCCCATCAACCCCCCGAATCCTTTGGGATTTCCAGCTCAGGAGGCCGGTTTCCCACTGGAGGCAATTCCCAGATTCCATTCTTAGGGTGATTTCCTTGATAACCTCGGAGCTGGGGAACATCTGGAATGAGTTTCCTGGAAGATCCCCATGGGATGGGTTGGAATCCACTGAGTTTTCCTTCTCTTTCCCATTGTTTCATGCAGGGAAGCCACCGGCTCCGGAGCCAACACCGGGATTGCTCAGGAACCCACTGAGATGTCCACCAAGGCCCCCATCTACCTCAAGAGGGGCAGCAGGAAGGGGAAGAAGGAGAAGCTCCGGGATATCCTCTCCTCGGATATGATCAGCCCCCCTTTGGGTGACTTCAGGCACACGATCCACATCGGCAGCGCCGGCCAAGGGGACACCTTTGGGGACATCTCCTTCCTCCAGGGCAAGCTCCATCTCCTGCCCCGTTCCCAGCCCAGCTTCTCCTTTGCCAGGACCTCCACCGTATCCGGGCACGAAACACCGGGAATTCCATCCCCGCTGTTGAAGAACGCCATCTCCTTGCCCACCATCGGTGGTCCTCAAGCCATCACGCTCCCATCGGCACCGGCGCCTCCCAAACCCCCCCGGCTCCACCTGGAGGAGCTCGGGAAGAGGGGTGAGGAAGAGGAGGAGGCGATGGGCACCACCCCAACCAATGGATTCCCCCTTGAGGAAGAGGCCGGCAGCACGGAGCCCTTCCTATCGCACGCGGGATCCCTCCTCTCCCTCCATGTGGATTTGGGACCGTCCATCCTGGAGGATGTCCTGCAGGTGATGGAGAAGCACCAAGCAGAGGGGGGGGGTGGATCTCCACCAGCTTCAGGCCTGCAGGAGAGCTTGACGTGAAGGTCAACCATGGGGGTAGACGTTGGGCAATGGTTGGTTGTGGGGTGGGGGGGGTGTTCTATGGGGTGAAGTTGGTTCCTCAATGGATCCCTATGGATTCTCCACCTCCAGAGCATGGACACGGTGCCATTGACACTCGCTTGGGGGGGGGTTGGGAAGGGGGTTGTGCTTGAAGAAGGGCCATGGTTGGAGCTTGGCCATGGTGAAGTTCAACCAAGCACCCAAGTCCTGGAGGTGGTGGTGGCACTCTTGGAGCATCACCCAAATCCCAACGTTCCCATGGCAAAAATGGCTTCACCGGAAGCCAAAATCCCTCTTGGGATGGATTCTGGGAATAAAATCCATGGTTGGAGTTTTGGGGGGTGCAACTGGAAGGCAAAAAGAAACCCAACCAAGGAGTGACCACCAGGCCCCATTCCCCATGCTGGGGAGTGGGATCCATCCTCACCAGCGCCATTCATCCCCGTTGGATGGAGGGATGAGAGGTGAGAGGCTTCGGGATTCCGAGCTCTGCTGCTTTTATGGGATAATCCGCATGGAACCGCTGTCATTCTGGCTATGGAGCAAGCGTGGCCTCATCTCCTGGACTCCAGCACTAAACTCCCACTATTTTCCACCCTTTCTGGGAATTCTGGCCACTTTTGGGTGGCAACAGCCCAAAACCTGGAATTCCACCCAAATCCCAACTTTCCATTAAGCCGGGTCTAGACGCTGGGTTGGGCTTCAGCTTCACTTGAGGCTCTTCTAGCTCTGTTCTCACCCAATCCAAGCTCCAATGGGAGATCCAGCACCATTCCCAAATCCCCTCTTTCCTCCCAGTTGGTTTGTCAACCAATCTGAAGAGGGGAAAAAAAACGGGATTGGGTAATTTTGGGTGGTTTTCCAAGTGTTTTATGGGAGTTTTGGTATTCCAGTGTCTTCATGTGGTTGGAAAACACCAAATCTCATGGATTTCACCCTGCATTGGAATGGGGATGTTCCCCTTTGGCCCAACTTCCTCATAATTCCAAGCAGCAATCCTGAAAGTTGCTGCCTGGATTGGGAATTCTGAGATAATCCCATGCAGGTAAAAGCCCAAAATCCTCTTGTTTCACCCCAGCTTTGCTCTAAGATGCTGGATTTGGGGCATGGATTTGGCACTTCCCTGCTCCCCCTCTTGGGCTCTATATGGTTTCAAATGATATCGAATTATCCCAATCCCGGTTTTCCCCCATTTTTCCAGGTGTAATTCTTCATTTGAGCTACACAAAACTCCATTTCTGGAATTAATCTTTCATTATTAGCAATAAAATCCCTGTGGATTCTCCTGCCCCTGGCTCCTCCCACCCTGTTTGCTTAACCCTTTAATTCCTGCATTATCCCATCGTGGTTCCAGGAGGTGGGAATGGGATTGGGAATGCTGTGGCTCAGTCAATGGGGGACTCACTAATTGGGAGGGGGGGAATGGGAGTGAATGGGAGCACTGGGGGGTGTTGGAATATAAGGACACTGGGAGCAATGGGAATGCTGGGAGCAATGGGGACATTGGGAGCACCTGGATAACCCGGGTGAAATAACCCCCAATTTCCCAGCAAACAGGGAAAAAAGACCTTGGGAAGTGGAAGTGAGCAGGAAAATCATAGGGGAATCAACCTGGAAGCTGTTCCCGGGGCTGCATCCCATGGGATGAGGTTTGGGATCTCAGGGTAATTCCAGTTTGATGGGAAAGGAAAAGAGCCCCAAAACTTCAGGTTCCCACATGGATTTATAGGGGTAAGGCTGGGTTTCCATGGGGAATCTCTATGGGGAGGGACAGGGATTTGACGTTGAGGACCACCCCCCCCAGCCTTCATCCATCCCTCATTCCATCCTCATCCTCTTCACCTTCATCCTCATCCCCTCCCATTCCCTCCGGATTTTCCCCTTTCCCCTTAATTTCCCGCCACCCCCCCCATTTCCCGCCACTCCCCCCATTTCCCGGCACGCCCCCTTATTTCCCGCCATCCCCCCCATCTGCGCGCATGCGCGCCGCGCCACCCTCTCCCACCCCGCCTCCCCTCGGCCGCCCGCCGCGCATGCGCGCTGGGCGGCGCCGGGCCCTAGCGGCGGAGGCAAGATGGCGGCGGTGGTACAGAATGTGGTCAAGCTGTGAGTGCGGCCCCCGCCGGGTTTAACCCCCCCCCCCCCCCAGGGTACCGAATGGTTCGGTCCAGCGCTAGAAACGGGGCTCCCCCCCCACCCGGCCCCGCCTGTGTTGCGGGCGGGACCAAGTGCGCGACGGGGGGGGGGGGGGGGTTGTTGGGGGGGCGGTCATTGTTCGGGGTGAACTTTGCTGAGGTAAAAAAAGGGGGGGGGCGTGAGGGGAGACCTCAAAATGGCGCCGGGAGGAGGGGAGGTGGTGTCCTGTGGAGGTAAGGGGGGGGGATTGTCCCTTTATGTCCCTATGGAAGGGTCCTGTAGGGGCCATGGGGGGGGTTTGGGGGGGGTTGTCCCTTTATATTCCAACGGAAGGGTCCTATAGAGGCCATGGAGGAAAATTATCCTTGTGGAAATGTCCTATACAGGCCATGGTGGTGGGAATTATCGCTTTATGTTCCTATAGAAGGGGCCTATACAGGCCATGGGGGAGGTGAGGGGAATTATCCCTTTATATCCCTATGGAAGGGGCCTATAGAGGCCATGGAGGAAAATTATCCCTGTGGAAAGGTCCTATACAGGCCATGGTGGTGGGAATTATCCCTTTATGTTCCTATAGAAGGGGCCTATACAGGCCATGGGGGGGGGGTGGGAATTATCCCTTTATATCCCTATGGAAGGGTCCTAGAGGCCATGGGGGGGGGAATTTTCCCTTTATATCCCTATGGAAGGGGCCTATACAGGCCATGAGTTTGGAGAGTTATCCCTTTATATTCCTGTGGAAGGGTCCTGTAGAGTCCATGGGGGGGGAGTTGTCCCTTTATATTCCAATGGAAGGGGCCTATAGAGGCCATGGGGGAAAATTATCCCTTTATCCCTGTGGATAGGTCCTATATAGGCCATGGAGGAGGGGAATTTTCCCTTTATGTTCCTATGGAAGGGTTGTATACAAGCCATGGAGGGAGGGAGTTATCCCTTTGTATTCCTATGGAAGGGTCCTGTAGAGGCCATGGGGGAGAATTATCCCTTTGTATCCTTGTGGAAAGGCCCTATACAGGCCATGGAGGGGGGGAATTTTCCCTTTATATTGCTATGGAAGAGTCCTGTAGGGGCAAAGGGAAGAATTATCCTTTGTATCCCTATGGAAAGGCATAATACAGACTATGGGGAGGAATTACCCCTTTGTATCCCTGTGGAAAGGTCCTATACAGGCCATGGGGGGGGGAGTGTGGGAATTATCCCTTTATATTCCAATTGAAGGGTCCTATAGAGGCCATGGGGGGGGAATTATCCCTTTATATTCCTGTGGAAGAGTCCTATAGAGGTCAAGGAAGGGGTTTTCCCTATACATTTCAGTAAAGTATCCTATTGGGAGGGGGGAATTATCCCTTTATATCTCTATGAGAGGGTCTTACAGAGGCCAAGAGAACAGGTTCATCCCCATATATCCCTGTGGGAGCATCCTACATATCCCATGGGATGCATTTATTCCCATAAGAGTGGGAATTTCCCCCCTATATGGTTGGGAAGGGGAGGGGTGTCCTAAAGGGGCTACAGGGAACCTGGAGAGGGGCTTTGGATAAGGGATGCAGGGATGGGATGAGGAGAAGCAGCTCCCAACTGGAAGGAAGAAGAGTTGGATGGGATCTTGGGAGGAAGAGCTTCACTGGGAGGGTGGTGGGACATGAATGGGATGAATGGAGGAGCTGCCCCATTCCCAGCAGTGTTCCAGGCCAGCTTGGAGCATCCTGCTCCAGTGGAAGGTATCCCTGGTTGAGCTTTAAGTCCCCTTCCAACCCAAACCATTCCCATTGCTCCTCCTCCAGGGTGGGTTTGGGTGAGTGCAGATGCATCCCAGGGCTGGGAATGGGGTCGGGAATGGGGTCGGGAATGAGCTCTCAATGCCATGTCCCGCAGGCTGGGGGAGCAGTACTACCGGGATGCCATGGAGCAGTGCCACAACTACAACGCACGGCTCTGCGCCGAGCGCAGCGTCCGCCTCCCCTTCCTCGACTCCCAAACCGGTGTCGCCCAGAGCAACTGCTACATCTGGATGGAGAAGCGGCACCGTGGGCCCGGTACGTGGGAGTAGGGCTGGGGAAGATCCATTTGCAGGTCCTGAAGGAGCTGGTAAATGGAGTTTCTAAGCCACTGTCCATTGTATGTGAAAAATAATGGCAGTCAGGTGAAGTTCCCAATGACTGGAAAAGGGAAATATAACCCCCATTTTCAAGAAGGGGAAAATGGATGATCCATGGAATTACAGACCAGTCAGTCTCACCTCTGTGCCTGGCAAAATCTTTGGGAGGCATGTTAAGGCACCTGAAAAACAACAAGGTGCTTGGGGACAGCCAGCATGGCAAATCCTGCCTGACCAATGTGGTGGCCTTCTATGATGGGGATAAGGAACTGATGGACAGGGGTAGAGCAGTTGGTGTCGTCCACCTATTGATGTCATCCACTTGGACTTAGGGCAACTAAGATGATGAAGGGAGGGGAGCATCTCCCTTATGAGGAAAGGCTGAGCTGGGTCTCTATAGTTTGGAGAAGAGGAGATTGAGGGGTGACCTTATTAGTGTATATAAATATATAAAGGGGGAGTGTCACGACGATGGAGCCAGGCTCTTCTCAGTGGCAATGATAGGACAAGGGGAAATGGGTACAAACTGGAACACAAGAGGTTCCACTTAAACTACTTCTCAGTGAGGGTGACAACACTGGACCAGGCTGCCCAGGGAGGTTGTGGAGTCCAGGCTCCTGTGTAACCTTATCTAGGTGTTCCTGCTCCGGCAGGGGGATTGGACTAGATGATCCTTTGAGGTCCCTTCCAGTCTCTAGCATACTGGGATACTGGGATACTGTGAATGGGAATGCCGTGGCCTCTGGATCATGGACTCACAGCAGGCTGGGCTCGGTTGGGTTCCAGGTTTAGCCGCTGGGCAGCTCTACTCCTACCCCGCACGGCGCTGGAGGAAGAAACGCCGCGCTCACCCGCCGGAGGACCCGCGCCTCTCCTTCCCCTCCATCAAACCAGGTACCTCCCGGGCCTCTGCTTCCCCATGGGCCTCATCTCTGGGGGTTCCTCGTGTCCCTCACCTCCGTGGGACTCTTGTGGTGGTTCCTCGTGTCCCTCACCTCCATGGGCCTCTTGTGGTGGTTCCTCGTGTCCCTCACCTCCATGGGCCTCTTGTGGTGGTTCCTTATGTCCCTCACCTCCATGGTCCTCTATGGGTCCTTGTGTTCCTCTTCTGGTTCCTCATACTCCTCACCTCCATGGTCCTCTATGGGTCCTTATGTTCCTCTTGTGGTTCCTCATGTTCCTCACCTACATGGTCCTCTATGGTTCCTTATGTTCCTCTAGTGATGGTTCCTCATGGGCCTCATCTCCATGGGTTCCTCATATTCCTCACCTCCATGGTCCTCTATGGTTCCTTATGTTCCTCTTGTGGTTCCTCATGTTCCTCACCTCCATGGTCCTCTGTGGTTCCTTATGTTCCTCTTGTGGTTCCTCATGTTCCTCACCTCCATGGTCCTCTATGGTTGCTTACGTTCCTCTAGTGATGGTTCCTCATGGGCCTCATCTCCATGGGTTCCTCATGTTCCTCACCTCCATGGTCCTCTATGGTTGCTTACGTTCCTCTAGTGATGGTTCCTCATGGGCCTCATCTCCATGGGTTCCTCATGTTCCTCACCTCCATGGTCCTCTATGGTTCCTTATGTTCCTCTTGTGGTTCCTCATGTCCCTCACCTCCATGGTCCTCTATGGTTGCTTATGTTCCTCTTGTGGTTCCTTATATTCCTCACCTCCATGGTCCTCTATGGTTGCTTATGTTCCTCTAGTGATGGCTCCTCATGGGCTTCATCTCCATGGGTTCCTCATGTCCCTCACCTCCATGTTCCACTATGGTTGCCTGTGGTCCTCTTGTGGTGGTTCCTCAGCATTCCTCATCTCCATGTTTCTCTATGGTTCCTTATGTTCCTCTTGTGGTTCCTCATGTCGTTGTTCCTCTATGGTTCCTTACGTTCCTTTTGTGGTGGTTCCTCACATTCCTCACCTCCATGGTCCTCTATGGTTCCTGATGTTCCTCTTGTGGTTCCTCACGTTCCTCACCTCCGTGTTCTTCTATGGTTCCTCATGTCCCTCACCTCCACATTCCTTTGTGGTTCCTGATGTTCCTTTTGCGGTGGTTCCTCACATTCCTCACCTCTGTGGTCCTCTTGTGGTGGTTCCCCTCTTTGTGCCCACAAAGGGGGAATCGAGGTGGCATCAAGCTGAAGGTTCTGGACACAGAGGCCACAGGGTGATGGAGACAACCCCCCCCAGTTGGGTTTTGAGGTTCAGGTTGGGTCCCATCCCTTCCTAAACTCCTAATGGAGCTGGATCCAAGCGTAGCTATGGATAATGGAAGCAACGTAGGGAATAGGGAGGTTCTGTTGGGTTGTGAGGTTCAGGTTGGGTCCCATCCCTTCCTGAGGCCCTGATGGAACCCCACTGGAGCTGGATCTTCTCTTAGTCATAGCCTTGGTCAATGGTTTCCATCTGGAGGCTCATTTAGGAGCAGTTCTAAGGTGGGTCCTGGAATCCTGGAATGATTTGGCTTGGATGGAACCTTAAAGCTCATCCAGATCCAACCACCACGGGCAAGGCCACCTTCCATAGAGCCAGGGCTGGGAGGTGGTGGTGGTGGTGGTGGGGGGGGGTTTCTCCATGGGATCCCACCGGATTCCAACTGATCCCAGCTCTCCCTGCAGACACAGAGCAGAGCCTGAAGAAGGACGGGCTCCTGGCCCAGGATGGCAGCAGCCTGGAGGCGCTGCTCCGCACGGAGCCGCTGGAGAAGCGGAGCATCCCGGACCCGCGCCTGGATGACGACAGCCTGGGCGAGTTCCCGGTCACCAACAGCCGCGCGCGGAAGGTGCCGCTTCCCGACGCTGGGAATGGGATGGAGGGGGGGGGAGGAGGGGGTCAGGGTGCAGGGAATGGGGATTCTGGGCCCGGAGTCCAGGGAAAGGGGGATTCTGGTGCAGAAATTCAGGGATTTTGGTCCCAAAATGCAGGGAAAGGGGGATTCTGTTCCCAAAGTTCAGGGGGAGAGAGATTCTGGTCTGAAAATTAAGGGAAAAGGGGATTTTGATCCCAAAATGCAGGGAAAGGGGGATTCTGGTCCCAAAGTTCAGGGGGAGAGAGATTCTGGTCTGAAAATTCAGGGAAAAGGGGATTTTGGTCCCAAAATGCAGGGAAAGGGGGATTCTGTTCCCGAAGTTCATGGGGAGAGAGATTCAGGTCTGAAAATTGAGGGAAAAGGGGATTTTGATCCCAAAATGCAGGGAAAGGGGGATTCTGGTCTGAAAATTTAGGGAAAGAGGGATTCTGGTCCCAAAGTCCAGGGACAGGGGGATTCTGGTCCTGAAATTCAAGGAAGGGGATTCTGGGCCCAGATTTTAGGGAAAGGGGAGGTCGTGGTCCCAGAATTCAAGGAAAGGGGGATTCTGGGCCCAGAATTTAGGGAAAGGGGGGGTTGTGGTCCCAGAATTCAAGGAAAGGGGGATTCTGGTCCAGAAATTCAGGAGTTTTGGGCCTGGAATCTGGGGAAAGGGGAATTCTGTTCCCAAAATTCATGGGAAGAGATATTCTGGTCTGAAAATTGAGGGAAGAGGGGATTTTGGTCCCGAAATCTAGGGAAAGGGGAATTCTGTTCCCAAAATTTAGGGGGAGAGAGATTCTGGTCCGAAAATTCAGGGGAAAGGGGATTTTGATCCCAAAATGCAGGGAAAGGGGGATTCTGGTCTGAAAACTTAGGGAAAGAGGGATTCTGGTCCCAAAGTCCAGGGACAGGGGGATTCTGGTCCTGAAATTCAAGGAAGGGGGGATTATGGGTCCAAAATTCCGGGAAAGGAGGATTCTGGTCCAGAAATTCAGGGATTTTGGGCCCGGAATCCAGGGAAAGGGGGATTCTGTTCCCAAAGTTCAGGGGGAGAGAGATTCTGGTCTGAAAATTAAGGGGAAAGGGGATTTTGGTCCCAAAATGCAGGGAAAGGGGGATTCTGGTCCTGAAATTCAGGAAATCGGGATTCTAGGCACAGGATTTAGGGAAAGGGAGATTCAGGTCCACAGATTTAAGGGAAAGGGGGATTCTGGTCCTGGAATTCAAGGAATGGGGGATTCTGGGCTCAGAATTTAGGGAAAGGGAAATTCTGGTCCACAAATTTAAGGGAAAGGGGGATTCTGGTGCTGAAATTCAAGGAAAGGGGGATTGTGGGCTCAGAATTTAGGGAAAGGGAGATTCCAGCATCAGAATTAAAGGAAATTTCTGATCCTGAAATCCATAGGGATGCAGATTCCGCTGATGCTTTGGCCTTTTCCTCTTGCAGTTCCCGGGGTTTAATCCCAGGGGAATGTTCTTAATGGACATTGGGATTCTCAGTTCCCCTTTTCCCTTCGAAGCCACACATGGGACTTTAATCCCATCACGATCCATGGGGTGGGAAGCGCTTGGCTTAATGGATCCAGCCCAGCCTGATCCGGATCATGCCGGGCTGGAGACCACCACCACCAAATCCCACTCTTCCCATCCCAGTGCTCCCAAGGGAGGTTGGTCTCCCACTAACCCCTTCCACAGGCATTGGAATGGATTCGGCTGCTGCCAAGAAGCCGGGCCCATGCTGGAGTATCCCAGATCCCAGTTTCCCCCCCTTTTTCCCCTCAATCCCAAGGGGTTATCCGCAATGTCCTCTCCTCTTTCCTAGCGGATCCTGGAGCCGGATGATTTCCTGGATGATTTGGATGATGAAGACTATGAGGAGGATACGCCGAAGCGACGAGGGAAGGGGAAGGCCAAGGTGGGCTTTGGCTGGATCCAGGCCTTTCAGTGGCAATTCCCAGTGAATCCATGACTTTGCCGATGCCAAAACAGCCCCGACACCACCCAGGGCTCCACTGTGTCCGTGTTGGGATGTGCTCGAGGCTGTGGGTGGGATAAAGGGAACCCCCCCCTTGGTTTGGGATAACTCGTGTCCCATCACCACTAAGGAACGTTGGACATGGAAAACCCACTTCCAACACCCTGGAATCCACTGGTAGGGGGGGTGTTGGTGTTCCTACCCCTTCCCAAAGTGGGGCAAGAGTCACTGAGCATCCCAAGGGATGCTTTGTCCATGCACATCCAGCGGCAATTCCCAACTATTCCCACTGTGTGGCAGTGTGGGATCAAGCCGTGTCCGTGTCCTCAATCCAGGAGCTTTTTGGGGCACAAGTTTCCCTCAAATTTGGCTTATTCCCACTTTTTCCCTCTTCTTCCCCCCAACCCTAACCCTAACCAGGGCAAAGGCGTCAGTGGGGCTCGGAAGAAGCTGGATGCAGCAATCTTGGAAGACCGGGATAAACCCTACGCTTGCGACAGTGAGTATGGAAAGCCGGGAATGCTGTTTGGGGAAGATCCATTGGATTTGGGATTGGAACCCCCAAAACCCAGGGAATTTTACACATCCTGGGGGAGGGCGTTTTTAGACCCCCTTGGACTCTCCATTCTTTGGTGGGTGGAGATGGATGGAGTTTTCCCACCGGGAATACCGGCATCTTACCCGGACTGAAGGGCTGTGCATGGAACAATGAGGATAAACCTCTCCTGGTGTTGCAAACAGCCCTGGAAAGGTGGGAAGCAGCCCCTGTGCTGGTTTCCTACTGGGATCCGTGTCCCTCAGCCCAGTCTGGATCCGGTTCAGATCCCATTATCCCACCCTCGGCCTCTCATCCATCCATAAAGCCACATCCTGAGGTTGTAGCTGTGAAACGCAACGCTCCCGCTCCGGTTCGAATCCACTTCCCAGTCCCACTCCTCCACGAGCCCAATGCTTCCTCAAGAGGAACTGGGTGGGAAAACTAAGGAATTTAATAGGGAAAGCAGCAAACCCAAGGGGCAAGTGAGGCTTTGGAATGCCCTTTCTGTCTTCTTCCTCCTGTCCTGCATGACCTGCCACCTCCTTCTCCCCCCCCAACCCCTTTTCCCAAGCCTGATCCCAAAAGAGTTGTGTTTTTCCTGCTTTTTTTCCCTGTTGGAAGCATGGCCTGGGATGCGTGTGTGCGTGTGGGGTGTTCTCACGACTCTCTTTCTGTGTTTCAGATAGTTACAAACAAAAGCATTCCTTGAAACCTCCCGACCGAGGTAGTCACTCTCTGTCTGCTTTTATACTTCCTGCCTTTCCTATTCCCAACGATTCCCTTCCCAAAATCAGGGATTTCTCCCCCCTTTTTCAACCTCACTGCACCCATGGGGGGAAAGGGGGAGGGAAGGACACAGCCAAAGGCCACCACCGACCTCGCTGCTCCTCTCCTGACCCTTTTCCAGCAGGGAAGAGCGGGCGTGCGTGCCGGCACGAGAGGGAAAACAAAGATGAATCCCTCTCCTGCTGCGGGGCTGGGAGGGAAAACATGGAGCATCCACTAAAACCTTCCCGGTTCCTGGATCCCGGGATGCGCCGCGGCCTTTGAAGAGCCGCCAACGGCTTTAATGCTGCTTCTCTTGCCTAAAACAACACCCCTTTCCCACTTAAAAGACGCTCCCAAAGCGGCTATGGGATAGTGGATACTGGGGGGCTTGGAAAGCTGGGAATGGCCGTGGCAGCGGCTCCCTTTTTCCCCATGGAAAGGCTGGAAAGATCCCGGTTTGTGTTCACATTCCTGCCTGGATTTGGGGGTTGGAAATAGGCACTTTTAAGCTGCAGGGGGTTGGGAAGGAGCCGCCTCCTGCCAGCTCCGGGTGGCTGCTCCGGGCCCTGACCCTGCCATGCCCCTGCTTGGCTCCGGAGCCTTGGAATTCCATGTAATAAGGTTGTAATTGCTGGTTCTGGGGCTGCTTTTGGCCTCCTCCGCTGGGCCTGCGGCATTCCAGACCTGCCCATGCGGAGTTCCAGCAGATCCCTTTGCCCCAAGGGGGTTTGATCCCCCAAACCCAACGCTGCTGCTTCCATGGGGCTCCAACCCCATTCCCGGCTGCTTCCCATTAGTTTGGGAGCCTTTTCCATGCTTCAAACAAGGATCCAGGAAGGTTGGGATGTTACAGAAGAGCTCCAAGCTTAGGGAATCTCATCCCAAAGTGACCTTTTCCCTGGTTTTCCCGGATGCCACGATGGAAAGATGTGGGGAAATCCATTGTTAAATCTGCTCCTAAATCCTGCTCTGGCTTTTTCCAGAGGGATTTCAACCCAATCCCATCCTCGTGCTGGCTGTGGGAAGCCGGCTCTGTGCTCTTCCTGCCTGAGCCTATCCAGGCTGGGAATTGGGGTTTGGAGCCTCCCAGTTCCCAAAAGAAACCCTGGAAATGGCAACTGAGGAGCCCATTCCCTGGCCAGGAAGGCGCTTCCCAATCCATGGATGCTCAGAGCTTTCCCTAAGGAAGCTCCTTAAGGAACAGGGTGGAATGTGCACAGTTCCTGGTGTGGTTTCCCCAGGCACATCTGAAAGAGCTGAATGGATCCAGGAGGGAGCAGAGCTGGGATGTTCCCTTGGATTCCCAAAACATGGAAGTTTCCCCTTGCTTCACCTCGGAAGCAGCCTGGAATTCAAGCCAGCTGCTTTAGGAGACGGGGTTTGGGGTGGGAAATGCACCCTGAGAGCCTCATTCCAATGAGGGGTTTCCCACTTGGATTGATCCCGGTGTGGCTTCGCTCCCAAACACCCACTAAATCCAGTGGGATGCGCAGCGGAGGCTTCTCCATCCCCGATCCGGAGCTTCCACCCCCTTTCCTTAGGGAATTCCGAGGTGGATATTAATACCTCCCAAGTGCTTCTGGGGGCTGAATGGGAGCAGCTCCCAATGCTCAAAGCCCAGGGACAGGACCTTGGAGGGGAGGGGGGGGTGCTGGATGCTTTGGGATCTATGGGAATGCCGCTCCCTGCTGATTCCTTCCCGGTTCTATCCCTAGTCTGTGGGAAGCGGTACAAGAACCGGCCGGGATTGAGCTACCACTACGCTCATTCCCACCTGGCTGAGGAGGAAGGTGACGACAAGGACGATTCCCAACCCCCGACTCCCGTTTCCCAGCGATCCGAGGAGCAGAAATGTAAGGAAAACACCCCCTTCCCTGCCCGAATCCCAAGGGAAAACTGCCAAATCCCATGTGCCAGCGCCGAGAGCGAGCGGCATCCCCATCCCAATGCATTGGCATCCCCCCAAGCGCTTGGATGGGGCTGGAAAAGCAGCTCCAAACATCAAGATGTGGTGGTGGGGAAGCGTTTTTTTGGTGTCCCAGATGGAAATCCCTTGTACAGATCCCAGTATTCCCACTCTTTTATCCCAGCTAAAAAGGGTCCGGATGGGTTGGCCCTGCCCAACAACTACTGCGACTTCTGCTTGGGGGATTCCAAGATCAACAAGAAAACGGGACAACCGGAGGAGCTGGTGTCGTGCTCCGACTGTGGGCGCTCAGGTAGGGCTGGGAGCGGTGTGGATCCGGGTGGGAGCATGGGAAAAGATGGGAATTGGCTGTTCCTGATGCCGAGTCGCGTTCCCATAGGACACCCATCCTGCCTCCAGTTCACACCAGTGATGATGGCAGCCGTCAAGACCTATCGCTGGCAGTGCATCGAGTGCAAGTGCTGCAACATCTGTGGGACCTCTGAGAACGATGTGAGGCCTGGGAGAGTGGGAATACAGCTTGGGAACAGTGGGAATACAGCTTGGGAACAGTGGGAATGACCCCTTGGGACAGTGGGAATAACCCCCTTGGGACAGTGGGAATAACCCCGCAGGGACAGTGGGAATAACCCCCTTGGGACAGTGGGAATGACCCCCTTGGGACAGTGGGAATGACCCCTTGGGACAGTGGGAATAACCCCCTTGGGACAGTGGGAATGACCCCTTGGGACAGTGGGAATAACCCCCTTGGGACAGTGGGAATAACCCCCTTGGGACACTGGGAATGACCCCTTGGGACAGTGGGAATAACCCCCTTGGGACAGTGGGAATAACCCCTTGGGACACTGGGAATGACCCCTTGGGACAGTGGGCATAACCCCCTAGGGACAGTGGGAATAACCCCCTTGGGACACTGGGAATAACCCCCTTGGGACAGTGGGAATGACCCCTTGGGACAGTGGGAATGACCCCCCTGGGCAGTGGGAATAACCCCCTTGGGACAGTGGGAATAACCCCTTGGGACACTGGGAATAACCCCCTTGGGACACTGGGAATGACCCCTTGGGACAGTGGGAATAACCCCCTTGGGACACTGGGAATAACCCCCTTGGGACACTGGGAATAACCCCCTTGGGACACTGGGAATAACCCCCTTGGGAAAGTGGGAATAACCCCTTGAGAAAGTGGGAATAACTCCCTTGGGAAAGTGGGAATAACCCCTTGGGAAAGTGGGAATAACCCCTTGGGACAGTGGGTATAACCCCCTTGGGACACTGGGAATAACCCCTTGGGACACTGGGAATAACCCCCTTGGGAAAGTGGGAATAACCCCCTTGGGACAGTGGGAATAACCCCCTTGGGACACTGGGAATAACCCCGCAGGGACAGGGGAGTAAACTGGGGACAGTGGGAATAATCCCCTGGGGATAGTAGGAATACTATTGGGAGAACAGGAATCTCCCCCTCTGGGACAGTGAGAATGAGCCCCCAGGGATAATGGGAATGCCAACCTGGGATGCTGAGAATGACCTCTGGGGAAAGCAGGAATACTGACCAGGGACAGCAGGAATGAACCCCAAGATTGTTGGGATAATGCCTAGGGACAACAGGAATAATCCCCAGGGACAATGGGAATACTGACCTGGGACAGTGGGAATAATCCCCCCCCAGGGACAGTGGGAATAACCCCCTGGAACAGCTGGAATAACTCCTGGGATAATGGAAGTACCCCTTGAAACAAAGGGAATACCCCCAGGGACAATGGGAATAACCCCCTGGAACAGCTGGAATAACTCCTGGGGTAATGGAAGTACCCCCAGAAACAAAGGGAATACCCCCAAGGACAATGGGAATAACCCCCTGGAACAGCTGGAATAACCCCTGGGACAATGGGAGTACCCCCAAAATAAAGGGAATACCCCCCCAAAACCAATGGGAGAGTCTTGGAGGGATCTTAGGGCTTCAGCTCTGGGGTCGCTGCCAATCCCAAGGGATCCTTGTCCCTTCCCTGTTGTCCCCATCCGAAGGCACATTGAATCATCCCGATATTCCCACTTTTCCCCCTCTTTGGCTCAGGATCAGCTGCTGTTCTGCGACGACTGCGACCGCGGGTACCACATGTACTGCCTGACCCCCCCCATGTCGGAGCCTCCCGAGGGTGAGTGCCCCTTCCCAATGGAATTCCCATGCTGGAATGGGAAAAGCACTGGGAATTCAGTGCAGGTTTCCCACCTGCTTCTGCCCATGGTTCTGGGAGGGGAGCCAGGGACCTGTCCCATGCCATAGGCTCCAGCATTCCAGCTCTTCCCATTGTTCCTCCTCTGCTCTGGTGGGAGAGATGGATTTTGGGGTGGAAAGGGTGGATTTTGGGGTGGGAAGGGTGGATTTTGGGGTGGGAAGGATGGATTTGGGGATGGGAGAGATGGATTTTGGGGTGGGAAGGATGGATTTTGGGATGGGAAGGATGGATTTTGGGGTGGGAAGGATGGATTTTGGGGTGGGAGAGATGGATTTTGGGGTGGGAGAGATGGATTTTGGGATGGGAAGGATGGATTTTGGGATGGGAGAGATGGATTTTGGGATGGGAAGGATGGATTTTGGGGATGGGAGAGATGGATTTTGGGGTGGGAAGGATGGATTTTGGGATGGGAGAGATGGATTTTGGGATGGGAGAGATGGATTTTGGGGTGGGAGAGATGGATTTTGGGGTGGGAGAGATGGATTTTGGGGTGGGAAGGATGGATTTTGGGGTGGGAGAGATGGATTTTGGGATGGGAAGGATGGATTTTGGGATGGGAGAGATGGATTTTGGGATGGGAGAGATGGATTTTGGGGTGGGTGAGATGATTTTGGGATGGGAGAGATGGATTTTGGGATGGGAGAGATGGATTTTGGGGTGGGAGAGATGGATTTTGGGGTGGGAGAGATGGATTATGGGATGGGAGAGATGGATTTTGGGGTGGGAGAGATGGATTTTGGGATGGGAGAGATGGATTTTGGGGTGGGTGAGATGGATTTTGGGGTGGGAGAGATGGATTTGGGGGTGGGAAGGATGGATTTTGGGTTGGGAAGAATGGATTTTGGGATGGGAGAGATGGATTTTGGGGTGGGAAGGATGGATTATGGGAGAGATGCATTTTGGGATTGGAAGGATGGATTTTGGGGTGAGAAGGATGGATTTTGGGAGAGATGCATTTTGGGATTGGAAGGATGGATTTTGGGGTGAGAAGGATGGATTTTGGGATGGGAAGAATGGATTTTGGGATGGGAGAGATGGATTTTGGGATGGGAGAGATGGATTTTGGGATGGGAAGAATGGATTTTGGGATGGGAGAGATGGATTTGGGGGTGGGAAAATCCATCCCTCCCATCCCAAGCTCTCCCTATGGGCTGGTGAAGCCAAGCAGGATCCTTCCTCCTCCTCCTCCTCTTCCTCCCCTCTTGGTCTTGTGCTGACTCACGCCTTCCAAGCAGAAATCCCCTCCCAGTGTTCCCATCAGGAGACCCTGATGATCCCTCAGGGATCATTAATCCCAGCAGGATTAATTATCAACCCCTCCTCTGGCCCCCTTCCCAGGGAGGTTAAACGGGGAAGGTTGGAAGGTTCATTCCCAATGGGAATACTCCCGGCTCACCCTCATCTCCATCTATCCATAGGGAGCTGGAGCTGCCACTTGTGTCTGGATCTGCTGAAGGAAAAAGCCTCCATCTACCAGAACCAGAACAATTCCTGATCCCGCTCCGTTGGGATGCGCTTCCCGATGCCCCCGTTCCACACGATTCCCTCTTGGTTTGGGGTCTTCCCTCTTTCATTTCCCCCCTTTCCCACCCCCCTCTTTTTTAAACCTTCCCTTTGGTTTTCCATTGATTTGGATTTCTTCCTCTCAGTCCCTTGGGAAGAGGCTTGGGATTGATGGGATTTTGCCCCATGAGGCTTTATCTCCCCCCTCACAACCACGTAGGACACGACCCATGGTGACATCCCACCATCCTTATGGATCCCATTGCTGCACATGGCACAGGGCCGCCTTTCCCATTGCCATTCCCGGCTTTCCAGCCCCATCCCTGCCCTGCAGCGTTCCAGACCCTTCCCGTCCCCCTTTTCCTTAGGGACACATCAGGTCCCTGCACATGCAGGGCTGGGGGTGGGGGGTGGGGCTGTTTGTGCAGTTTTGGGCTTTTTGGTTCATTTTGAGGCTTTTTTGTGCAGTTTCGGGATTTTTTTTTTGTTAAATTTCAGGGGGTTTGTTAAACTTTGAGCTTTTTGTTAAATTTGGGGGTTTTTTTTGTTCAGTTTGGCTTTTTTTCTTTGTTAAATTTGGGGGCCTTTTAAGATTTGGGAGGATTTTGTTCCGTTTTGAGGCTTTGTTAAATTTGGGGGGATTTGGTTAATTTTGGGGGATTTTGTTGATTTTCGAAGGTTTTGATGAATTTTGGGTGGGTTCCTTTTTGGGGGCTTTTTGTTCAGTTTTGGGTTTTGTGGGTTTCTTAGGTTTAGGGCATTTTTGTTCAGTTTGGGGGGGATTGTTACATTTTGGGCGGTTTTCTTCAGTTTTGAGGTTTTTTGTTAAAATGGGGGAGGTTATTAGATTCCGTATTTTTTGTTCGGTTTGGGGATTTTTTGTTCGGTTTTGGGGTTTCTTGGTTAAACTTCATGGGGGTTTGGTTAAATTTGGGGCGTTTTGTTCAGTTTGGGCGGGTTTCGTTCAGTTTTAGGGTTTTATGTTCAGGTTTTGGTGGGGTTTGTTCACTTTTGACCATTTTGGAGCCCTCAGTCTTTCATTTCCTGCTTTATTTTCCCCTTTCCCCCTCATTTTTACCACCCCCCCCCCAGACGAGGCCTTAGACCCCCCACCCCCCCCCCCATGGGGCAGAACCCCTGGACCTGGTGTGTTCAGTGCCCCCCCCCCCCCATCACACAGGGTTTGATCTGGGGCTTGGGGGGGGGGGGGTGAGAAGCCGCTTTCAGCCCCAAACAACCATGGGGACACCCCAACCCCCCCCCCCCCAAGGGTCCCATTGACTGAATGTGCCTGGTTTTTGTAAGAATCAACTTAAAAACACCTACCTCCGACCCCCCCCCACCGCCTGCACCCCCATTCCCCCCCCCCGAACCCCCCAGCAGAGAGGAGCCAGTCGGGATGGGGGCGAGAACCCCCCAGAACAGGCCCCAGGAGCAGGAAAAGGGGCTCGAAGGGATGAAAATGGCCCCCAAAATGACTGAAATAGCCCCAGAAATGGATGAAATAGCCCTAGAATGAGCAAAATAGCCCCAAAATCGACTGAAATAACCTAAAAATGACAGAAATAGCCCCTGCATTGACTGAAATAGCTAAAAAATGGGCAAAATAGCCCCTAGATTGACCAAAGTAGCCCCCAAAATGACTGAGATAGCCCACAAAATGACCGAAATAGCTGCCAGATGACTGAAATAGTCCTTGAAATTACTGAAATAGCCCCAAAATAAGCCCTAAAATGACTGAAATAGTATGAAGAATGATTGAAACTATCCCCAAATCAGTAAAATAGCCCCAAAAGTTCCTGAAATAGGCCCAAAATGACCAGAATAGCCCTGAAGTTGCCCCAGAAAGACAAATAGCCCCCAGATGGCTGCAATTGTCCTTAAAATGAGTCAAATTGCCCCAAATCTGCTCAGATTTAACCCAAATCCTCCGACAGCGGCTCCTCTCCCCCCACCCCAAGCGCGATGCAGCTCCTGGTGACAACCAATGCATTTGGGTGACGTCTGAAGGTGATCTGGTGACATCCAACAGCGTTCCAGTGGTGTCCAGCCATGGTTTGGTGACATCCAACAGCGTTCTGGTGACGTCCAGCCATGGTTTGGTGACATCCAACAGCGTTCGGTGACATGCAACCATGGTTTGGTGACATCCAACAGCGTTCTGGTGACGTGAGCCATGGTTTGGTGACATCCAACAGCGTTCTGGTGACGTGAGCCATGGTTTGGTGACATCCAACAGCGTTCCGGTGATGTCCAACCATGGTTTGGTGACATCCAACAGCGTTCCAGTGACATGCAACCATGGTTTGGTGACATCCAACAGCGTTCCAGTGACATGCAACCATGGTTTGGTGACATCCAACAGCGTTCCGGTGACATTCAGCCATGGTCTGGTGACATCCAACAGCGTTCCGGTGACGTCCAGCCATGGTTTGGTGACATCCAACAGCGTTCCGGTGACGTGCAGCCATGGTTTGGTGACATCCAACAGCGTTCTGGTGACGTGCAGCCATGGTTTGGTGACATCCAACAGCGTTCAGTGACGACCAACCATGGTTTGGTGACATCCAACAGCGTTCAGTGACGACCAACCATGGTTTGGTGACATCCAACAGCGTTCCGGTGACATTCAGCCATGGTTTGGTGACATCCAACAGCGTTCCGGTGATGTTCAGCCATGGTTTGGTGACATCCAACAGTGTTCTGGTGACGTCCAGCCATGGTTTGGTGACATCCAACAGCGTTCCAGTGACGTCCAACCATGGTTTGGTGACATCCAACAGCGTTCCGGTGACATTCAGCCATGGTTTGGTGACATCCAACAGCGTTCTGGTGACATTCAGCCATGGTTTGGTGACATCCAACAGCGTTCCGGTGACGTCCAACCATGGTTTGGTGACATCCAACAGCGTTCCGGTGACATTCAGCCATGGTTTGGTGACATCCAACAGCGTTCCGGTGATGTTCAGCCATGGTTTGGTGACATCCAACAGGTTCTGGTGACGTCAGCCATGGTTTGGTGACATCCAACAGGTTCGTGACGTCCAGCCATGGTTTGGTGACATCCAACAGCGTTCCGGTGACATTCAGCCATGGTTTGGTGACATCCAACAGCATTCTGGTGATGTTCAGACATGGTTTGGTGACATCCAACAGTGTTCTGGTGACGTGCAACCATGGTTCGGTGACATCCAATGGCGTTCCAGTGACATTCAGCCATGGTTTGGTGACATCCAACAGCATTCCAGTGATGTCCAACCACGGTTTGGTGACATCCAACAGCGTTCCAGTGACATGCAACCATGGTTTGGTGACATCCAACAGTGTTCCGGTGACGTGCAACCATGGTTTGGTGACATCCAACAGCGTTCCGGTGACATTCAGCCATGGTTTGGTGACATCCAACAGCGTTCCGGTGACATTCAGCCATGGTTCGGTGACACCCAGCAACATTCTGCAACATCCCAACAGTGTACCAGTGACACCCAACATGTGCTGGTGACAACAACCGTGGTTTGGTGACAACCAAAGACATTGTGGTGACAGCCAACAGCGTTTTGGTGACATCCGATGCATTCTGGTGACATCCAGCAGCGATTTGGTGGCATCTCCCAAGACGTTTTGGTGACAACCAACAGCGTTGTGGTGACACCCACCACATCCTGGTACCCTCGGGGCTGTTCCCGGCGTTCCCACTCGGGTTTGATCCGGAAAACTCCACAAAGCGACACCAAACCGGCTGCTTTTGTAATAAAAACCAGAGAAACGGCGGCGGGGGCTTCTCCAGGGGCTCGTATTGAGGTTGTGACACCCTGGGTTTGGGGTCAATGAGTCCCATTTAGGTGCTTGGATGGGGCTTCTCCAGGGGCTCGTATTGAGGTTGTGACACCCTGGGTTTGGGGTCAGTGAGTCCCATTTAGGTGCTTGGATGGGGCTTCTCCAGGGGCTCGTATTGAGGTTGTGACACCCTGGGTTTGGGGTCAGTGAGTCCCATTTAGGTGCTTGGATGGGGCTTCTCCAGGGGCTCGTATTGAGGTTGTGACATCCTGGGTTTGGGGTCAGTGAGTCCCATTTAGGTGCTTGGATGGGGCTTCTCCAGGGGCTCGTATTGAGGTTGTGACACCCTGGGTTTGGGGTCAGTGAGTCCCATTTAGGTGCTTGGATGGGGCTTCTCCAGGGGCTCGTATTGAGGTTGTGACACCCTGGGTTTGGGGTCAGTGAGTCCCATTTAGGTGCTTGGATGGGGCTTCTCCAGGGGCTCGTATTGAGGTTGTGACACCCTGGGTTTGGGGTCAGTGAGTCCCATTTAGGTGCTTGAATGGGGCTTCTCTAAGGGCTTATACTGAGGTTGTGCCCCCCTGGATTTGGGGTGAATACATCCAATTTAGGTGCTGGGATGGAGCTTCTCTGAGGGCTCATACTGAGGTTGTGCCCCTCTGCTTCTGGAGGTGAATAAGTCCCATTTAGGTGCTTGGATGGGGCTTCTCCAGGGGCTTGTATTAGGTTTATGCCCCCTGATTTTAGGGTGAAATAAGTCCCATTCAGGTGCTTGGATGGGGCGTCTCCAGGGGCTTGTATTAGGGTTATGCCCCCTGATTTTGGGGTGAAATAAGTCCCATTTAGGTGCTTGGATGGGGCTTCTCCAGGGGCTTGTATTAGGGTTATGCCCCCTGATTTTAGGGTGAAATAAGTCCCATTTAGGTGCTTGGATGGGGCTTCTCCAGGGGCTTGTATTAGGGTTATGCCCCCTGATTTTGGGGTGAAATAAGTCCCACTAAAGTACTGGGATGGGGCTTCTCTGAGGGTTTATACAGAGGTTATGCTGCCACACTCTGTATTTGGGGTGAATTGAGTCCAATTTGGATGCTGGGGTGTGGCTTCTCCGAGAGCTCATACTGAGGTTGCGCCCCCCCCTTCCCCTGCTGTGTTTTTTGGGGTGAAACCCACCCAGTTTGGGGTCTGTGTCCCCCCCTCAGCCCCATTCTGACCAAGCTCAATCCCTTCCATAGCTTTTATTGTGCAGCAAAATCACCCGAATCAGGGCAAAGGCCGGAGCTGGAGCCCAGGGACAAGAACCCGGGGGGGGGTTTGGGGGCCCCTTTGGCCTCTTTTGGTGTCAAACCCCAGCGTTGGGATGAATAAATAGCGTCGGGTGCGGGGTGATGCACCCGGGGTCCGGGTACCAGGGCCCATCCTGGGCCACTTCAGGCGCTGTCCTTGGTGCTGACGCTGCTCAAGGGGATGGTGACCTCCTTGTCCTTGAGGTGCCCGGCTCTGGGGTACCAGGGGGAGAGAAAGCCCCAAATCTTCAAGGTTTGAACCCAAAACCTTCATCCCTGAGACCTCCCACCCTTCCTCACCCCAACCCCTTTGTCCCTTCCCGTCTTAAACCCTTTGTCCTTCCCAACCCCAAACCTTTATGGATGGATGGATAATGGATGGGTTGGAGCTTGGGGCCCTCCTCAGGCT